TTATTTTTTTATACAATAAAGGCTTTATACAATATAAGGCTGAAAAAGGCCTTAAAAAATTTTTTGTGCTTCTTGTGCCCACTAATCATAAGACCCCTTCTAACTACTTATCTAAAACATAACAAAATTTGTAATTTAAAATAGTACAACTTGGGGTGAGTCATTTACCAGACACCAGCACCGGGGGGAGTTTGGGGTTGCCCAAAGGGGGGAAGGAAAATTTGGGCATTTCAAAAAATTTACATTGGGTTTGTGATCTGTATTTATGGAGTGCCAAAAAATACCCAAATATTTTTTAAAACCCATCCATGTACATTACAGTAGGGGCCATCGAAATTTACAAGCCCATCCTTAATGTCTTTTGATAACGCACTAAAAGCCTCTCCTTCCCTTTGCAATATACCATTTACCAAAAAACCCCAGACTTAAAGAAGGGCTCTCTGACCCTGTGTGCTTTCCTAAATAAAGTATATTGAGCTTTATATTCTCTATTTTTGTTGCAGTTTGTGGGTTTTTAAGGGGGGGGGTGGCCCCGGAGAAAGAGGATGAAATTTGGGGAATGATTTTTGTAAAGGGGGTGATAAAAAAAGAAAAAGGGAGCTTATGAGAGGTTTTTTCAAAGCAGAAAATGATATAAGAAGAGCCGAGTAATGGGGAGTAAAAAAAAGGTGAAAAGAGTGGTGAAGAGTGCAAAAGGGGAGCAGGGTGATTGAGTGGGAGAGGCCCCTTTTTCAAAAAAATCTTAAAAAAAATAAAAAAAAAATTGGGGGGTGAGTTTTAAAAAGTTAAGAAAGCCCAGAGAACCATTTAAAAAAAAAAAGAGTAGGGGGAGTTAATAGATGGGGAGATGGAGGATTGGGGAGATTTGGGGAGAATATTTTGAGGAAATTTTTAAAATTTGAAAGAAGGGAAAAGGGAAACGGGGAATTTCATGGGGCTGGCCCGGGGGGTTTTTCCCCTTTTTGGAAGGGGAAAGAAGAGCGGATGTGAGTTTTGGGGGAGGTGGGGGGAGGCATTACATAGAATGAAAGGGGGTAAAACAGCTGGAAAATGAAGGGATCATTTACAAAAAATGTTAAAAGGGAGGGGGGGTTTTTGTGTTGGAGATGGTTGGTATTTTTGTTTAATAAAAGTATGAAAGAGGGGAAGGTACCTAGGGATTGGGAGAGAGCAAGTAATCCCCTTTTTATAAAGGGAAGGGGGGCAAAAAAGATTGTAAAAATTTATAGAAAGGGAAAAATTTTTTCTGATTTTACCAGGAAAAGTGTACGGGGGAGGGTTATAATTGAAAAAAATTTTGAGGCAAGACAAATGTAGGGTTGCAGATGAGCAAGGAGGTTTCAGAGGGGGTAGGGGATTTTGTAGATTTAAGTGTTTTCATTGAAGCATATATTTGGGGAAAAGTATTTTGATAAAGGAGGGAAGTTTTTTTTTGCCCTTTATGGATTTAGAAAAGGATATGGAGTAATAGGGGCAATGTGGCAGATGTTGCAAGTAAATGGAATAAAGGGGGTAAGTTATTAAAAAGCTGTACAGAGTTTTTTTGAGGGTAGTGAGGCTAGGTTTAGGGGTGTAGAAGAGAGGGAGGGCCCACTTCCCGGTTAAAAAATAGGTCTTAGACAAAGGGGTGTGTAATGTCACCATGGTTTTTTTAATATATTTATAGATGGGGTTTGTAGAAAAAGTAAAATGCCCAGGGTGTTTGGGAAAAGGGGGGTGGGATTAAATTTTGGGGGAAATTTAAAAAACAAAATGGGGTTTTACACAGTTGCTTTTTGTGATATTTTGTGCTTATTGGGGGAATTTTAAAGAAAAATTGCAAAGGTTAAATGGTGAGTTTGGAAGTTTTTTGTAAAGGTAGAAAGTTGAAAGTGAACATAGAAAAGAGTAAAAGGGGGGATGAGGGGATCAAAAGATTTTTGATAAAGAAAAAAAAGGGTATCAAATTGGGGGGGGAGGAGTATTTGGGAAAAATTTAAAAATTTTTCAGATACTTGGGAGTTACGTGTCGGCCCGGGTGGATTTATTTAAGGAGAGGGTTTTAAACATAAAAAAGGTGAGGGGAAAAAAAAGGTGAGTGGTTTTCGTTGAGTTATTTTGGGGGGAAAAAAACACGTTATCTTGGAGGCAAAGAAAGGGGAAATAAGAAAGTTAGTTACCAACACCTTAAATGGGTGTTAAGCTTGGGTTGGAATTTTAGCCCGCAAGGAAGGGGGGTTTGGGAAAGGGAGTGGAGATGTCCTGGGCCCAAAAGGGAATGGTGGTGAAATATTTAAAGCCCGAAAATTCAGAGTGTGGAAATTAGGGATTAAGGGGGTGAAGTTAAAAAAAGTTTTTGTCAAAGGGGGTGAAAAGGGGTTGTTGAAGGGGGGTTTGGGGCTTTTTGGAGGGGAATGGATAAAATTAGAAAGACATGGGGAGCATTTAAATCTGTAGGGAAAGGGAAAGGGGGGGGTAGGGGGCGTCCTGAAAAGGTTGGAAGGGAAAGGGGGGAAAAAAGGGTTTTTTTGGGGGGAGGACTTTGGGCTCCAGCAGGCGTGCATGAACGTGTTCAATAAAATGAATGGAGAAATGGTATTTGGGGGCCTGACGATCGTTTTAGTGTTTAGCAGGGTAAAAATTTAGTGAAGGGATTCAGGGAAACCCGGTTTTTTTTTTTATATAGCCGGACTTTGAGCCCTGGAAAAGGGAAATACATTGCCCCGACTCTAAAGGGGGGGTTCGGGATATTGACAGTTTTTGGGGGGGATTGTTGTGTTTCCCTTTTTACCCTAATGCTTTTTAAACCGTTTTTTTTGAGCACCCTGGGAAAAACAGTGATTTGTGTGAGTGAGGGGGAAAGTGTTTAAAAGATGAAAGTAAATTTTTTTTTTTGGGGAATTTTTTTTCTTTTTTTGGGGGACCCTTGGGTTTTGGGGGACAGCCAAATTGTTTTTTAAAAAAAAAAAAAAAATCTACAAGCCAGTGTAAACACTTTTGTGCAAAAATTTTTGGGGTTTTCCTAGGCCCAAATTTTCCCTATGTATAATTTTTTATCTATACTTAAAGTTACCTGTGAGATAGAGTTTGACAGACGAAGACAGAGAAGGGTAGAGACAGTCAAAGTTTAAAACAGCCCAGCCAGGCAGCCCCCCCACCGAACACTTATTACACACTTTCCAGAATTGTTTTTCTTTACTTGGGGAAAAGAAATTTTAGGACATTCTGGAAGGGGTGACACTACCCGGTGGTACCAAAATTGAAAGGATTTTACAAATGTTCCCCAAAGGTTTTTTCCCAAAGGGTTTTTTATTTTTTCCTCAACTACTGGGCCAAAATCCAAACTCAAAGCCATTAAAATCAGGGGGCAACATCACTCTCCCCTCTTAAAAAGGGGGGTGTTAATACGACATGGAAACAGTGAATTCCTAGTGTTTGCCACGCTGTTTTTCTCACTGGCGCTAAAATTGAACTGGTTTTTCCCCCAAGGTACAAATGGTCCCAGAGGTTTTTTTTTTAAATGCACCCCAAACCCAGTGTTAAAACCCATTCTATATGAACCCGGGATTTCAAAGGGCATGCCAAAATTTTAAAGGGAGGAAAAAAAAACAGCCCCCAGTGTTGTGTTGCAGCCTTTCCCGATAGAAAATTAAGCTCCGGTTTAAAGTTAATATTGAGTGTTTCCTGTATACTTTGGGGTAACATAAAAAAGTTTAAAAATTGTGAAGGTTTTTTAAATCAGTTTAAAGATTTTTTAAAAAGAGGTGGTATGTGGTGGTTGCCTGGGTAAACAATAATTCTGAGAGATGAGTTTGAAAAAATAACGAGGGGTTTAAGAAGATTTCCGATTTTTTATCACCAGGTTAAAAAAGGTACCCTAGGGGAAGGGAGGTGGAAATTGAGAGTAATAAAAAGGGAACAGAGGGGGTTTTTGGGTTTACATAATACCCCTATTTTGAGAGAATGTCCCCCCACTTTTTAAAATTTTTTTGGAAATGTTCTGGAGTGTCCGTTTTAATTTTACTTTGCGTTTCCCGGTGTATTCCTAAGCATTTGCCCCCCCGCCCTGCCTTTTCACTTGCTGTTTTTTTTTGTGTCTAAAATTAAAAAAAAAAGGACATTCTTTGCTTTGTTCCAAACATTGCATAGAAGGTCTTGTCAATATTGAGTGTGAAGTTTTAGTTGTGACCCCAGTAGATATTTTAGTTCAGCATTGATTGTGTTGCTGAATGCTGTGAGATCAGAATTTGAAATAACAAAAGTTGTGTCATCGGCAAACAAAATTGATTTAAGTATCTGTGAACTGTTGGAGTGCATTTTTACCGAGCTGTTTATATACAGCCTCTCCTCACTTAATGGTGGAATTCTGTTTTTAAGACCATGTCGATAAATGAATTCATTGCTAAGTGATGAGCACACTATAATATTAGGTAGTGGGTTTGTGTCAACCATCTTTGATATTGTTTTAATGTCAACTTTGCACCATTTATAATATTTCTGGTATATTTTTAAATGTTTATACAGTAGTGTACTGTATATTGTAATAAACAGAATAGAGGAAATCAGCTTTAACTTACATTATTTAGGTATTATTTAGGTTTGGAGGGATATGTTGTATATTTTTATATGTATATGCTTCTAAACTGTTGTATTCTGAGCACCTCTGCAAAAGCAGTGATAATGTGTGAGTGTGGTGAAAGTGTTGAATGATGATGAAAGTATTTTCTTTTTGGGGATTTTCTTTCTTTTTTGGGTCACCCTGCCTCGGTGAGAGACGGCCGACATGTTGAAAAAAAACAAAAAAAATTTAGGTATGCATACTGGTCAGAGAGCCCATCATAAGTCCGAGTTGTCGGTAAACGAGCACATCACTACGTGAGGATAGGCTGTATTCTGTAATGTTATGATACTAATATCTGCATCTTTCTGCAAAAATAATCAGTGAGTGTTTTGTCAATTTAAAATTTAATGAGAGCTTAAAATAATGAAATGTGTTGAAATAATTGTTGATGTTGTGGCAGGTACCTGAAAGGAATCTTTCCTAAGGTGGAGCCAGCAGTGATACTGGATGTTCTTACTCAGTGTAACTACAGTGTTAAAGATGCCTGTGAGAAGATGATACTGCTGGGTCATGAGAAGAAGGAGACAGTGTTGTCTCCACCCAGACTGAAGGAGAGAGCTGAGGGCAAGGAGAACAAGTTGGCTCCTCCCAAACCTTCACCTGCTCCTCCAAGACCTAAGAACCTCGGGGAAAAACACAAGAAGAAAGGTGTGTTTTTTTAGCCTTCTTACTTAGATAAAGTGTGTTCTTACATAGATAAGGTGTGTTCTTGTTCTTCTTACTTAGATAAGGGAATGGAACTTTTTGTTGCATTTAAAGATTTTGATTTTAGGGGAAGGAAGGCGGGGTAGGGGTCGTCCTCGAAAGGGTTGGAGAGAGGGGGTAGAGGAGGTTTTGTCGGCAAGGGGCTTGGACTTCCAGCAAGCGTGCGTGAGCGTGTTAGATAGGAGTGAATGGAGACGAATGGTTCTTGGGACCTGACGATCTGTTGGAGTGTGAGCAGGGTAATATTTAGTGAAGGGATTCAGGGAAACCGGTTATTTTCATATAGTCAGACTTGAGTCCTGGAAATGGGAAGTACAATGCCTGCACTTTAAAGGAGGGGTTTGGGATATTGGCAGTTTGGAGGGATATGTTGTGTATCTTTATATGTGTATGCTTCTAAACTGTTGTATTCTGAGCACCTCTGCAAAAACAGTGATAATGTGTGAGTGTGGTGAAAGTGTTGAATGATGATGAAAGTATTTTCTTTTTGGGGATTTTCTTTCTTTTTTGGGTCACCCTGCCTCGGTGAGAGACGGCCGACATGTTGAAAAAAAAAAAAAATAATAATAATAATTATTGTTATTTCTAAAAGTACATTTATAAGGTATACAAGCCTAGCTGACATCAATGACATACTACTACATATATAGAAAGCCGCTTGTTATGTAGAGCATTTCCTGTAAATTAGGTCGATGTTGTCCTGGGATGCGACCCACACCAGTCAACTAACACCCAGGTGGTACCTATTTTACTGATGGGTGAACATGGACAGCAGGTGGCTTGAGGAAACACTTCCTAATGTTTTCCAGACATACTGGGGGATCGATCCCCAGACATCACTGTGTGAGCTGAGTGCACTAGTGATTGAGCTATGGAACACTATTTTCCACAGATGCTGTATGACCCCTATGGGTTTATGGCTTTCCCAGAAAACAATTATCATTTCATAAAATTTTTTTTTTGAGTTAGAGGAAATTTTTGGACCCTGAGAACAAGTTTCAGATTGGGGGTCTGAACCCTGAAAGAGGTTAAAGCTCAGCACTATCTAAGGTATACTACCACTCACAGGATGCCATCCCCTATAGCCGACTAAAACCCAGATACCTACTTATTGCTAGGTGAACAGGGGAAGCAGCAGTTGTAAGGAAACATGCCCAACATTTCCACCCATTCCAGGTATTGAACCCCAGACCTAACCTAACCTAACCTAACCTAATCTAACCTTACCTTACCTTACCTTACCTTACCTTACCTTACCTTACCTTACCTTGCCTTGCCTTGCCTTGCCTTGCCTTGCCTTGCCTTGCCTTGCCTTGCCTTGCCTTGCCTTGCCTTGCCTTGCCTTGCCTGACCTTACCTGGCCTGACCTGACCTGACCTGACCTGACCTGACCAACTGAGCCCTGGGATACCTAATAATAAACTTATTCTATTTATCGCAATTTTTTACTAATACAGTGGACCCTTGGCTAATGATATTAAGCCATTCCTGAGAGCTCATCGTTAGATGAAATTATCGTTAGCTGAATTAATTTTCCCCTAAGAAATAATAGAAATCAAATTAATCCGTTCCTGACACCCCAAAGTATGAAAAAAAAAAATTTACCACATGAAATATACATTTTTATACACCCAAAAAGAAGAAGACATGCATAATTTCTACTGTACTAAATAAAGAATATATGACACTTACCTTTATTGAAGATCTGGTGATGATTGATGGGATGGGAGGAGGGGAGTGTGTGGAAGTTATTGTTTGGAAAGGGAATCCCCTTCCATGAGGACTTGAGATAGCAAGTCTTTTTCTGGGGTTACTTCCCTTCTTCTTTTAATACCACTAGGACCAGCTTGAGAGTCACTGGACCTCTGTCGCACAACAAATCTGTCCATAGAGCTCTGTACCTTGCGTTCCTTTAAGATTTGCCTAAAATGGGCCACAACATTGTCATTGTAATAATCACCAACACGGCTTGCTGTGTTAGGGTGATTTTCATCCATAAAGGTTTGCAGTTCGACCCACTTTGCACACATTTCCTTAATCTTTGAAGTAGGCAACTTCTTCAATTTCTCTCTCCCCTCCTCTGAAGCAGTTTCTTCAGGTGTGGCCTCATGCTGTTGCAGATGATCTTGCAGCTCATCAGTGGTTAGTTCTTCATTGTCCTCCTCCACCAACTCTTCCACATCCTCCCCACTAACCTCCAACTCCAAGGACTTCCCCAATGCCACAATAGAAACCACAACTGGCATAGGCTTCTCAGGGTTAGCCCCAAACCCTTCAAAATTCCTCTCTTCTACACATTCTGGCCACAATTTCCTCCAAGCAGAGTTCAAGGTCCTCTTAGTCACTCCCTCCCAAACCTTACCTATAAGGTTTAAACAACTGAGGATACTAAACTGATCTTTCCAAAACTCTCTTAGGGTCAGTTATGCAACATATGGGAATCTTTATTCAGGAAAGCCACTGCGTGGCGAAACGTTTCCTGAATAAAGATTCCCATATGTTGCATAAGTGTCTCAATCTTCAACTTGTCGGTTTTTCAAACCATTCATCACAACTGTCAGACACTGCAGCATCATGGGATCTTGTTACAAAGAATTCTTCAACACTTGTTCAGCCTTTGGACGAAGACCTACTTCGACTAGTGGATGGTACCACTATGACCTCACCTCCTCCTGCTTCGCCTCACCTCACTACAGTATATAAGCCACGTCTACGGCCCTATGCTGTACATTCTACAAGATTGATGGACTGAACACATCGACTCCAGGCTGAGGGACTGATTACCTCAAACTCCTCCTCTCCTTATGCCTTTCTACTTTGTATTGGACTGATGAAGCCACTGCGTGGCGAAACGTTTTCTGAATAAAGATTCCCATATGTTGCATAAGTGTCTCAATCTTCAACTTGTCGGTTTTTCAAACCATTCATCACATCTCTTAGGGTCAATCAAGTGCCTGAGGTCACTTCAAAGCACTTTCGAAACAGCTTTTTGTGTAGAGGTCTTTGAAGTTTGAAATGACCTGCTGGTCCATGGGCTGGAGGAGAAGAGTGGTATTAGCTCATGTCCCCAGAAATTTGCTCTGCCAAGTCTGAAGGATGACCAGGAGCATTGTCTAATACCAGGAGGCACTTAAGGTCCAATTTATTTTCCAGGAGGTAATTTTTCAGAGTGGGGGCAAACATGGTGCAACCAGACATAGAAAAAGTCCCTAGTGACCCATGCCTTACTGTTTGCCCTCCACATCACAGACAAATTAGACTTGTGGACACTGTTTTTCCTAAACAATCTGGGAGTTTGAGTGATACACCAATAAAGGCTTCACTTTGCAATCACCACTAGCATTACCACGCAACAAAAGAGTAAGCCTGTCTTTCATAGGCTTATGTCCTTGAAGTGCCTTGTCCTCTTGAGTAATGTAGGTCCTGTTTGGCATTTCTTCCAAAACAGGCCTGTTTTGTCACAAACACTTGTTGGGGTTTCAATCCTTCAGCCTCTATGTACTTGAAAGTGCAGGCATTGTACTTCCCATTTCCAGGACTCGAGTCCAGCTATATAAAAATAGCTGGTTTCCCTGAATATTTTTTTTTTTTTTATTATCACACCGGCCGATTCCCACCAAGGCAGGGTGGCCCGAAAAAGAAAAACTTTCACCATCATTCACTCCATCACTGTCTTGCCAGAAGGGTGCTTTACACTACAGTTTTTAAACTGCAACATTAACACCCCTCCTTCAGAGTGCCTACTACATATACAGAACATTAAACTCCACTGTAAACCCTCCCCTAATACTACTACTTGACAGTTACAACAGAATGCACAGCCACAATACAAGGCATAAGGCACATAAAGGGCCCGAAGATCTGGAACTCGCTAACGGAACAGGTCAAGGATCCCTTGACAGCTTATAAATTTAGGACTTTGCTAAAAAATCATCTTATCTCACAATATTAACCAAATCAACCAAAACATCTGCTTACTAGTTTTATTATGTGACCTCTTGGCTCTTAATTCTGCCAGTCCATAAAATCATCATCTCTCAATATTAACCAAATCAGCCAAAACATCTGCTAATTAATTTTATTATGTGACCCCCTGGATTTTAATTCTGCCAATCCATTAAATATTACCACCTGCACCATTACTTGTAAAGTAGATTTTGTGTGCAATTTCAAGATTATTTTATCGAACCCTACTCCTTCTTACTACCTCTCACTTGTATTAAGTTTAAATAAGATTGTAAAACAGTTAACCACTACTACTAGTCTAGTTTTAACCCTTTCAGGGTTTCGGACGTACTAGTATGGCTTACGCACCAGGGTTTTTGACATACTAGTACGCCTAAATTCTAGCGCCCTCAAATCTAGTGAGAGAAAGCTGGTAGGCCTACATATGAAAGAATGGGTCTGTGTGGTCAGTGTGCACAGTATAAAAAAAATCCTGCAGCACACAGTGCATAATGAGAAAAAAAAAACTTTGTGTTTTTGGATTAAAACAGCGACTTTGCACTGTATTTTCGTATGGCATTTATTGTTGTATTCTAGTTTTCCTGGTCTCATTTTATAGAATGGAAGACATATTACAGAAATTGAGATCATTTTGACTGGTTTTACAATGAGAAGTACCTTGAAATTGAGCTCAAATAGCAGAAATGTTTACCAAAGTCCAAAAGTAAACAAATCATGCTAAGCTTCCAATACACTTCAACTGGTGAGTCTAATATTCTTTCACAAGTGCGCTGATATTATTTATACCGTTTCTACACTAATGCAGTAGTCTGCATAACAGTAAATCTTCTATTTTTTTGTGAGAAAAATTCAAAGTGGAAAACAAAAGAATGTAAGAGGGGCATGGGGACGTGACTAATGAACAGAGGAAATGTTATTTTAGTGCCAGGAATGTCTTTCTTGTTTATTCTGGACCCTATTTGGTGTCATTATGACCGGGAAAAGATTCTCTATCTTTTCATAAGAAAAAATAATTTTTTTTTTTTTTTTAAATTTGGGCGACCCTGAGAACAAGTCTGGGAGAGGGCCTGGGGACCCTGAAAGGGTTAAGTATAGTTACTATGTACTATTATCTTATCTAGTTTTAATTAGTTATTATGTATTAGGATTAGTTTGCCCAAAATGCCTCGGCATGATAGTGGCTATCTTTGTACTTAGCAAATCAAAATTATAATTACACATTGTAACCTTTACAAAGAAATAAACTTTACTTACTTACATTTATAACATTTCTGGTAAATTTTTAAATGTTTATACAGTAGTGTACTGTACGTATATTGAAATAAACAGAATAGACGAAATCAGCTCTAATATACATTATTTAGGTATAAATATTGGTCAGAGAGCCCATCGTAAGTCTGAGGCATCGGTAAACAAATATGTTTCTAAGTGAAGAGAGGCTGTATAGGTGAGCTGTGAGAGAGCTGACTGTAATGTGCTATATAGAAGAGCTTCACAAGAGAGCTGATTGTAATATGCTATAGCTTTATAAGAAAGCTGACTGCAGTGTGTGTTACAAGAGTAATAGTTGTGGTGTATAATTGTTCCTTGTTCATCATTACAAGTGACATTTATGGTGTACAATTGTTTCTGGGAAGTGAAAATGAAAATGTGTATTTCCTTGCAAAGCTTACAGTGTGTGGTTTACATATTATAAAAAGGCCACTAGCATACCTAGGCACCTGGACACATGACCACAACACAAGACACAGATCCCTTTTTGATATACCATGTGTCCATATCACACTATGTAAAAACTCTATGCACCTAAAGGGCCCTAAAATATGGAATTTATTACCAGAATATATTAAAGTAACCCAGTCTGAAAATCAGTTTAAGACTCTTCTCAAAAGCCACTTAATCACCATAGACTAAATGCTAAATATTCAATACACACTTATTCACCTATGTACTCCCACATCATAACTTCAACAATCACTTTGAACCTCTTATCCACTGTTGACAGGAATATAAGCAATAAGCATTTTAGACTATATGAATATATCCTTTGTCTTATACAATTTTAATTCACTTATAATTAATAACCTACTGTTCAACTATGAAATAATTACTATCCTACTGTACAACTATGATATACTCCTTAGTGTTAAGTAGACTGTAAGCCAATAATGTTAAGTTGGCCCATAATGCCTAGGTATAATAGAGGCTCTCTTTGCATTGCAACCCACTATTGTAAATATAAAATCTCAATGTACTGTCTGCAAAGACATAAAATAAATAAATAAAAAAAAAAATTGGGGCAGACTTTCCTAATTCTTACTCTGTATCGGCCCAGGTTATGGAGCAGTACATTTTAATATACATTATTGCATATTGATATAAAAATTAGGTAATTGAAGTGGTTATCATTAATTAGATTGATAATAGCGAGGTAGTACGAAACATATAACAATATTACAGTTAGTAAATTTAGTACATAATTTGAATGGTTTTATCTCAGCATGATACACTGCTTCTATAAAAACTCCTGCGTTGGGAGAGTATATCAGGCAAACTTAGGACTAACTTAAGATTAATTAGGCAATAACTATATTAAGAATTTTATGTTTACAGTCATTTGGGTGAGTGTAAATGTAAAAGGAAGAATTACAGATATCAAGAGTAAGTCTATTTTGTGTTTTTCACATAGCTGATGATGGGGTGTGGTAGTGGGATAGTGTTTTTTAATAGTAGTTTTGAAAATGGTGGTTGATTCTGTGGTTCTAGAGTTTTAGGCAGGGAGTTTCACATTTTAGGCTCTTTTATGTACATTGAGTTTTTGAAGAGATTTAGCCAGACACAGGGGATGTCATAGAGATTTTTGTGTCTGGTATTGTGTCTATGAGTCCTGTTGCAACTATCAAGAAAGTGTTTTAGTTCAGGGTTAATATGAAAATTTATAGTTCTGTAGTGTGAATGTTCTGTACAGGGAGTTCGTTTAGGTATTTGAAGAGTGGGGGGATTGTTGTCTAGCATTGGATTGCATGATAATTCTTACTACAGCCTTTTGTTGGGTTGTTATTGGCTTTAGGTGGGTTGCTGCTGTTGATCCCCAGGCACAAATAACATAGGTGAGGTAGGGATAGATGAGTGAATAGTATAGTGTGAGTAGGGCTAATTGTGGTACATAGTAATGTATCTTTGAGAGGGTCCCAACTATTTTGGATACTTTTTTTGTTGTGTTGGATAAGGGTGTTGAATTTCAGGTTGCTGTCAAGGTGCATACCCAGAAATTTGCCCTCATTATGTTTAGCAATAACAGTGTTCTCAGTCATAATGTTCAGTTGGGCATCACCTGTTCTGCTGTACTTAACAAACCAAAATTGCAATTACACATTGTAACCTTTGCAAAGAAATAGTCTTTATTCTTTTTTTATTCTTTATAACATAATGTAAAAGGTTTTGTCACTATTAAGTGTAAGTTTATTGGCAGTCATCAAGGTCGATATTTTTACTAGCTCTTCATTAACAACAAGTGACAGTTGTGGTGTACAGTTGTTCTATGTTTAGTGTTACAACAGCTGTACTGCGTGTTACAGTGCGTAACCAGCTGGCAGCAGAGTACCCAGCACTGACACCAACGGTGGTGACCATGGCACTGCAGTCTGTGCACTATGACGAGACGCGCGCCAGACAAGTCCTTAACAACATGGCCGAGTCGGACCGCAAGACACAGCAAGCTCTGGCAACCATCACACCAAAAATGTCAAGGTACTCCCTTAATTAAGTCAGCATTTTTTCATTACTGAAGCATTTTTTAACATTTATCATAGATTATATTTGTATTAAATGTTTTTTCAGTTTATAATAAGAACATAATAAGGAAGGAGCACTGCTGTAGGCCTACTGGCCCAAGTTAAGCAGGTCCAAGTCACATCAACCCATACTCACTCATGTATTTGCCTAAGCTACTTTTAAAGCCACTCAAGGTTTTATCTTCAATGACATTACTCGAGTTTGTTCCACACATCCACAACTCTATTGCCAATCCAATGCTTTCATAAATCCTTTCTAAATCTAAATTTTTCCAGGTTGAACCTATTTCTGTGAGTCCTTTCTTGGTTAGATATTTTTACATCCTCTTTATATATTCCTGTTTTCAATTTATACTCCTCAGTGCAAATTTAGTGCCCTCAGTCTGTTCTCATGGGAAAGATTTCTGATACATGAAATCAGCTTGTCATCCTTCTCTATACATTTCTCAGCACTTTTATATCCATTCTGTAATACAGTGACCAGAACTGTGCAGCATAATCTAAATTAAGCCAAACTAACAATATTTGAGGCTGAAAAATAACCTGAGGACTCCTATTATTTATACTTCTTGATATGAAGCCAGGGATTCTATTTGCTTTATTGCCAAGACTTGCACACTGTTGTCTTGGCTTTAGATTACTGCTTACCAAAACTCTTAAAATCTTTTTCACATTCAGAGTGAATAAGATCTACATTATTTAGTTTATAAGCTTCTAGCCCAGGTCTTCTCCATGTGGTGACCCAGCAGTGGCTCCTGAAGGAGTGTCAGTGTGTACACTTGTAGTACACTTGTAGTACTGTTTACAGCCCTATGGCAGGGGTAGCCCTAGAGCAAGGGCATGGTGAGTCTTCTTCAGGTCAAGTGGAATACTGCTTACAGTTTTGTGGTGGGGGTAGCCCTATGACAAGGACGTGGTGACTCTGTCATCTCCATATGAGCTATTCCTGGCACTCAAGCTACAGCCTGAGTGCCAGAACGACTCAGGAGATTCTCTGGAGGTGTGTTGAACACCTGAAATCTGACAGAAGTCTGTGGTGACACCAGTTTATAAGTGCCATGGTTATTCTCTTTTCCAAGGGTTAGAACTTTGCATTTGTTTATATTAAACTGCATCTGCCTCTTCTCTGGCCACTGCATCAGTCTATTCAGATGTTCCTGTAGTGCTCTAGTGTCCTTGTCAGAATTAATCCGATAGCCTATTTTGGTGTCATCAGTAAACTTGTTTATATCGCTATTTATTCCCTCATCTATGTATTTCTTTCTTTCAACACACTGACCGTATCCCACCGAGGCGGGGTGGCCCCAAAGGAAAAGCAAAAGTTTCTCATTTTACATTTAGTAATATATACAGGAGAAGGGGTTACTAACCCCTTGCTCCCAGCATTTTAGTCGCCTCTTACAACACGCATGGCTTACGGAGGAAGAATTCTGTTCCACTTCCCCATGGAGGTAAGAGGAAATAAACAAGAACAAGAACTAGAAGGAAAATAGAAGAAAACCAAAAGGGGTGTGTATATATATGCTTGTACATGTATGTGTAGTGTGACCTAAGTGTAAGTAGAAGTATCAAGATGTACCTGAAATCTTGCATGTGTATGAGACAGAAAAAAAAAGACACCAGCAATCCTACCATCGTGTAAAACAATTACAGGCTTCAGTTTTACACTCACTTGGCAGGACGGTAGTACCTCCCTGGGCGGTTGCTGTCTACCACCCTACTACCTAGTCTCATCTGTGTATATTGTTAGCAATAAACAGCCCAACACTGACCCCTGTGATGCATCCTCACTGATTTCTCCTCATTTATTCAAACTCTCTGTTGCCTGTCTTTCAACCATGCCTCTATCCAGGAAAAAATTTCTCCTATTTTATGTTCCTATACTTTCTTCAGCAATCCCTGGTGTGAAACTCTATCAAAAGCCTTACTGAAGTCCATATACACAATATCATATTCATTACCATGATCTACCTCCTCAAATACCTTAGTGAAAATAGCCAATTCATAAGGCAAGAATGCCCTTTTGTAAAACTGTGCTGAGATTCATTGATCAATTTGTCTGTCATGGTGGCTTTCAATAGACTCAGTAATTATTGATTCCATCAGTTTTCTTCCAAATGAAGGTTATGCTAATTGGTGTATAATTCAAAGCCTTGTAGATAGGTATATTTGCCATTTTCCACTTCTCTGGCAGTATACCAGTTTGCAGTGATATGTTGAAAAGACTAGCCAATGGTTTGCTAAGTTCCCACTTACATCCCTTTATAACCCTTGAGAACAGTTCATCAGGACCTGGGGATTTGTTAGATTTTAATCTGCTTTGTGTCTGAGAAACATGTCACTAGTGACTTCGATCGTGCATTACTTATTTTCCTCCCAACGTACGTACCGTATTTTATGGCGAACAAGACGCTCCATTGTCGAGGACCCCCGCTAAATCTGACTGGCTAAATCTGGGAAAAAAAAGCAGTGTCCATGGTAATAACTGTAATAAAGTTATGTTAAGCTTGAGGCTTTACACATAAAAAAACACGTATTGATGGTTTGTTCTGCAGTTATTTTTCATTGATGCAGCTGATTGGCAGGTTTGCCAGTCAGCTGTGACAGCTAAAACTCGCTACATTTACATCAAGTGGCACGAAAAAACGTGCCAGTATACAGGCAATTATTCTTGATCTAAATCTCAAAACTGTGAATAAAATTACTTATCTGATATAGTGGTTGTAACACTACCTGCTACAGTGGTTATAACACACTAAGATAGTAGCATTAACTGTGATGATAATATAATAAATAAAATAATAATAATAACACTACATTAGTAGCATTTAACAGCAGTAATACTAAATAATTTAAAAATAGTAATAATAATAATAATTACCTATTATAATAATGTAATGAAGCATAAATATTCCTCTCTACACTGACCAGTTGATCAACCATATTAAAGACGATATTATCCTTGTTAGTGTTATCCATATTATGGTTAAATTTATTATACAGTATATTGTGCACTTTATTATTTAGTTTATTATACAGTTTATCATACAATTTATCATAGTTATAATTTTTTTTTTTTTTAACAAGTTGGCCATCTCCCCCCGAGGCAGGGTGACCCAAAATAGAAAAGAAAATCCCAAAAAGAAAATACTTTCATCATTATTTAACACTTTTACCTCACTCACTTTTGCAGAGGGTGCCCAGAATACAAAAAGTTTAGAAGTATATACGTATAAAAATACACAATACACTCATGATATAGTTTATTACAGTGGATCCCCGGTATTCGATGGCATCGGTATTCGATAAATCCAGTATTCGATGCATTTTAACGCAAAAAATTTTGCCTTGGTATCCGATTGAAAACCCGGTATTCGATACGATTCGTACGAGACGTGTCCACGTGTAGCCTGAACTGCCCCTTGTGTGCCAGTGTTTACAAGCCAGCCAGTGTGCGTGCATCTAAGGATACATTCGGTACATTCCATATTATCACTGTTTTTGGTGCTTGTTTCTGCAAAATAAGTCACCATGGGCCCCAAGAAAGCTTCTGTTGACAACCCTGTGGTAAAAAGGATAAGAATTAGTATGGAAATTAAGAAAGATTTTGAAGGGTTTGGGGCTAACCCTGAGAAGCCTATGCCAGTTGTGGAATCCATTGTGCCTACTTCAAAAATTAAGGAAATGTGTGCACAGTGGGGTGAAGTGCAAACCTTTATGGATGAAAATCACCCTAACACAGCTATTGCAAGCCGTTCTGGTGACTATTGCAATGACAATGTTGTGGCCCATTTTAGACAAATCGTAAAGGAATGAGAGGTACAGAGCTCTATGGACAGATTTGTTGTGCGACAGAGGTCCAGTGACTCTCAAGCTGGTCCTAGTGGCATTAAAAGAAGAAGGGAAGTAACCCCAGAAAAGGACTTGCTACCTCAAGTCCTAATGGAAGGGGATTCCCCTTCTAAACACTAACACCATCCACACTCTCCCCTCCTCCCATCCCATCAATCATCACCAGATCTTCAATAAAGGTAAGTGTCATGTAACTGTGCATGTCTTCTTCAGTTTGTGTGTATTAAAATTAATATTTCATGTGGTAAAAATTTTTTTTTCATACTTTTGGGTGTCTTGCACGGATTAATTTGATTTCCATTATTTCTTATGGGAAAAATTGATTCGCTTTTCGATATTTTCGGTATTCGATGAGCTCTCAGGAACGGATTAATATCGAATACCGGGGGTCCACTGTATTTGGTTTCTTAGTAATATTCTTAGCTTTACGTATTGTCATTGTTTTTGTACAGGAGTGCAGAGAGCAAGACCGTAGCACTGAGCCTCATCGGGTCCCCTCCACTGTCCAGGAGAGACGGTGTCAAGCCCACCAGACCACCCTTACCCAGGACCAGGATCAAACACTGCCTGGACCGCTGCCCAGACGTAAGTTACCTCAAGAATCCTACAATATCTCAGCATGGATGCTGCTGTTCATGCCTCAGACGTAGGGATAAGTTAGGATTTGTTTTGGATTTTTAACTCAGAGGGTTGGCCACCTAGGATAACCCTAGAAAGTCAGTGTATCATCAAGGACTGTCTGCCTTATTTCCATTGTGGTGCTTCGATAATGTTCCTCCCCATGATGCCACCCATACCAGTCAACTAACACCCTGGTATCTACTCACTGCTAGGTGACAAGTGGCAGCAGGTGTAAGGTGACTAACACCTAAGTATCTACTTATTCTTAGGTGAACAGGGATAGCAGGTGTAAGGAAACATGCCCAAGGTTTCCACTGATGCTGGTGATTGAACCCAGACACTCAGTGTGTGAAGTGAGTTTGGGTTAATTTAGATTATGCTGCACAGTTTTGGTCACTGTATTACAGAATGGATATAAAAGTGCTGAGAAATGTGTAGAGAAGGATGACAAGTTGATTTCATGTATCAGAAATCTTTCCCATGAGAACAGCCAAGCCATGAGCTACAGGTATAGTGAGCCCAGTACTTAAAAAGCTTGAGGGTGGGGGTAGGGGTGTATGTTGTTGCCTGCTCTCCATAAATTCCCAGTTATGATATTAATTTTTAAACAACGTTCAAATCAGCGGACTTGGTCGATTCATTCAGAAGACTTCCAAACACTATAAATAGAATACATACATTGTAACCTGTAGTAATACAGTACAGTACTGTACTGTATAGTAATTTTATAGTATAGCCTCTCCTCAGCAATGTACTCGTTTACCGACGACTCAGACTTACGACCAGGTCTCCAACCAGTATGCAAACCTAAATAATGTATATTAGAGCTGAATTCCTGTATTCTGCTTATTACAGTATACAGTACACTACTGTATAAACATTTAAAAATATACCAGAAATGTTATAAATGGTGCAAAGGTGGCATTAAAAAAATATCTAAAGACGGTTGACACAAACCCACTACCAGTATACAGTGGACCCCCGATTAACGATCTTTTTTCATTCCAGAAGTATGTTCAGGTACCAGTACTGACCGAATTTGTTCCCATAAGGAATATTGTGAAGTAGATTAGTCCATTTCAGACCCCCAAACATACACGTACAAACGCACTTACATAAATACACTTACATAATTGGTGGCATTTGGAGGTGATCGTTAAATGGGGGTCCACTGTAGTATGCTCCTCGCTTAACGACCAATTCACTTACTGACCTACTCTTAGGAACGGAACCCCGTTGTTAAGTGAGGAGAGGCTGTACATAACAGTGATTGTACTTACTTTTTCATTTAGGAGAAACAAAGTGTAAACTGTTGTGGTTGATATTGGTGACTTAAAGTAACTTTTACATATTCTGAGTCAGAATAACGTTTCTTGGGTATATAGGTCTGGTAGCGGGAATGAATGAGGCTTCGGAGGCATGTTACTTTATTGGGCTCTTGTACACAGGCAGTGTGTTTGTGCCCTGGGGCTGAACCTGCTGGGCCCCCTACTGTGAGGGAGAGAGCAGTACACTTGTTGTCTCTAGGCTGCCGGGTGTGAGACACAGAGAGCGTAGTGTGAGCTGAGCTTGGTAGATGTTATGGGGCTATAGGACCCAACATGTATTTATAAGTAACAGTTACTCTGGAATACCTAATTATATTGAATTGATGGGGACTTTGCTCTAAATGTCAGAAGGACTGATCAACCTTATGACTGAGAGGCAGCTGGGTCAAACCTATTTTTCTCAATATAATAGGTTATACTATAGACACATAAACACACAATTTAAATAAGTAGTTTATAAAGTTGTATTTCTTTTTGTAAAAGTAAAATTAAGAGGTGGTAGAATTGTGGTAACTGGAGAATTGTGCTTGGAAACAGTCTTTTGTTTTGGTGGGAGGAGCTTAGCCAGGCTCTCTCTCTCTCCCTCTCACTGACTCCCTCTCTCTGTGGCTGACCTTCAACTGGCAGGATATCTGGGTCCTTTCTCCTAACTTTTGGGGCATATGTGTGCTCAGGGGTGAGTTTTTATAATTTAAGTTGTGGCCACCATACCCAGGGTGACTAAAGTGTGTCAAACACTGGTTAGCCCAGAGTTATGTCAGGAGAGTGAAGGACAAGAGTTTGTTGCAACACACCATGTGGAGCACAGGCATGGAGTGTTGTAGATTTTGTTTTGAAAATGGAGGCTGTGATTGTATATTCTGTACTATCTATTGAGAATACAGTTATATTTTTATAGTAGTAGTTTACTTAACCTGTGAAGAGGGCTGGTGAAGGGTATCAGAGACACTCAAGATGATCAGCCATGATGTAAGTATTACCCTAGACAAATAAGGCCATTAAGTAAAAGCTACCCCAACTAGAACATGTAGTGAGAACCTTAACATCAAGAAAATAAGGGAAACCAACGTAACATGGGAGCTTGACCGGGGAGAGTTATTGACTGCTAAAATAACTCAAACATTCTTTGAACTATATGTGCTGGTATGGGGTAATAACAGTTGCATGTTTCTGGTAGAAGATTTACCAAGGTGGTGTCAGTGGAAGTGTTGTTTTCATATATTAGTTTACAGGTTGTTTTTCTCCTAAGGTGGGAGAAAGGTTGAGTAACACATTTTTTGTTGTGGTTATGGTAAGTGCTATGTGCATAGTTTACATTCAATTTGTGTTATTTTATGTGCCTGTGGGAAAACTTTGTCCACTGATACTGTAAGAGGGAAGCAAGTGTTTAAAGATAAAACTATGTCAGAAGATGAGTCTTCAGATTTTTTAGGCTTCAGGGAAGAAGGTAATAATTCATCAGTAAACATGCCTGTTAACAGTGAACATGAGGGATCACCTACTCCAGGTGATATGGAAATGGAGAGAATGAGACTGAAATTAGCTGTACTAGAGGCTGAAATGAAATTAATGAAAGCTAAGGAGGAAGAATGTCAAAGGTTAGGAGGTTCAGAACAAGAGCCTGAGCAGTACTTTAACATAACTAAAGCTGCAAATTTTGTCCCTAAGTTTACAGAGAGTGACCCAGATAGATATTTTTCTTTTTTTGAGAAGACTGCTTTGGAGCAAGGATGGCCCAAACAGAAGTGGGCTACCCTAGTTCGCACACAACTTGTGGGGTAAAGGATTCCAGAGAGTAGAGATCTCTGGAGGGGCAAGATTTTTCTGATTATGATAAGATTAAAGAGGAAGTATTGCTTGCATACCAAATGTACCTGAGAAATTATAGACAAAAGTTCAGGAATCAAAATTTCAGGATGGGCAGACCTTAACTGAGTTTGGGAATGAGAAACTGTTCCTTTTTAAGAAATGGGTTTGTTCTAAAGGAGTTAATAAAGACTATAACAAATTAGTAGATCTGATGGTTCATAGAGATTGTACAATACAATCCCTGTTGACCTCAGAGAATATTTGGAGGACAAAAGCCCAGATAATCTTTCAGAAGCACTGGATCTAGGTGACCGATTCTTGGCTCGCAGGGAATTGGTAAGTAAAAAACAGTCATGCTCCTGAAAATTTCCCACTCATTCTAACCTTATTCCAAGTCCTATGGTCATAAGGTAAGTGGGACAAGAATTTTCAGGGACAAATGAAGGCTGAGGTGCCCTCTAAAATAGAAGGAAAAGGTAAGTCAGCTGGAGTTCAAAGTTTACTTAGACAATCAGATGTTTCAGATCCTCGAGTAAACAGTACCAGTCCTACACCAAATGGTTAAAAATACCTTTAAGAGTTTATCTGTTATTACTGTAACAAAACTGGACACACACAAAAGTTTTGCTGGTCAAGGCGGCGAGATCAGGAAAGGGAGGAACCACCCCAGAGGACTCTAACTGCAGAGATACATCCAGTTGCCTGCATTAGGTCTTCAAGGCAAGGTGAGGAGGAACCTTTGGATCTAGACCCCAGGATGGTGTATATTTTTAGTAGGTCCACAGTTGGTTTGCAAAAGAATGTAGCAGAGTTGAGAACATATTGTCCTTGAGAGATGGATGTAGCACCTACTCTTTGCTACGTGCTGGAGTGCTACCAGTGTCTAGGATACCTATACTGGGGTAGATATATTGTTGAAGGGTATTGCGGGTTCAACCATAAGGACACGGTACACAAATTATGGGTAGGAATCTACATACCAAGTTGGCTATCTCCCTGTAGGTATCTCAGATGAAATTCCTTCGAAGGGGTCGACCTCTTATTAGGAATAATGTGATGGGCTTGTTAGACAGTGAAGAACCACTAGTATGGGGGCAACCAGGCCCCAAAGTTTGGGAGAAAAAGGCTAGGGAGACCCTGCCAGACCTTTTCCCTGTTGGTGCCATCACAAGAGTATGTCTCGTGACCAGGATACCAAGGGTAATCCTTATATTTCTCATGAGGATGGTGAGGACTTAGGTTTGGAAACTCTATTTTCTGAGGTTGAACTGCAGTCAACTAAAGAAAAGGATACCACAACCCAAGTTGAGCCTAATCAGTGCAGAGATCAAGGAAGTAGTGTGAGGGAGATTGGGGCCTACTATGATGCAGTTAATTGCTGCACAGGGGTGTGATGACACACTTAAGTCGATCAGAGCCTCAGCTGTGACTGAGGAGGAATCTTTACGTTTAAATAAATGCTTCTATTTCAGGAAAGGTATACTCATGAAGAAGGCACCTTCGGTTGCAGTACCAGTAGAAGGAGAGCCAAGTTTTTGTCACCAGGTCGTGGTGCCTGAGCCTTATAGAAACCATGTTCTTAGCTTAGTGCATGACACACCTCTAGGTGGACACCTAGGTATTGCTAAAACAGTATCCAGGGTTTCCAGGCATTTCTTCTGGTCTCAGCTGTGGGAGACTGTCAGAGAGTATATTGAGACCTATCATGTCTCTCAGTTTATAGGGAAACCTAGTCGAAGTATTAAACCTGTTCCCCTTCATTCTATTTCAGCACCAGGTGAACCCTTCAGCAAGCTGGTAGTAGATGTACTTGGTCCATTCCCAAGG